TGAACAAGACGTATTATAAACTGATTTCTTGGGACACCTGTGAAGTTAGGGAGATCAGTATATTGGGGTGGTTTCATCTTGGTGCCTCTAGATTAGTATCCTAAAGCAGCAACACTCCACATACGATACCATTTAGAACATTCTTAGTTTTTCAGCATTGTTTCTTACTGAAGTACAGTAAATAAAGGGGGCGGGGGGGGGGGGGGGGGATTAGCGCGGAGGGAGGGGCGCTAATTAATTGGTTTAGCACGGCTAATTATCTGCCAGCGGTTCGCTCTGAGTGCCAGAGGCCGAGCAGGTCGGTCGCCCCCCTCAGCCATCGTCCCCTCAGCCGCTGGCCCCGGCCGTCTCTCCCGTCGGCGGAGCCCCCCGCGGCCTTTACGCTCTTTAAACCAACGAAATACTCGCTGGTGCCCCAGCCAGTCTCCCCCGACGGCCCCGGGAAGGCCCCTTCACCCGGCCCCGGGCGCAGCCGGCATCGGGGAAACGGCTTCGAGTAACTCGCGCGGTCCGCACTGTGAGGTAAAGCGCTTACCAAAAGGGGGGAAAACCCACCCCGATTTAATAACTCACTGATTGCAGGGGTTATTGTGGAGGGGGATCAGCGAGTATTGACCCGGTGAAGGGGTATGAGTGCCCCCGAGATAAGATTCAGTAGCTGTCTGGTGCTGAGAGGGGCTTTAGCGCTGATCACAGGTATTACAACACTTCTCTGCTGCAGGGTTGGCCTTCCGAACTGCTTCGCTTTGGGCGTTATTTTTTTTTTTTTTTTTTTGGTATTAGGGCTACGATTGCATAAAGACACAACCTTTTAATGTAACAGTAGAATTTTCTGCAGGGAAGCCTTTGAAAGCGTGTAAATTCAAATTGAAAAATTACCCGAGCGCCCTTCCCTCCCTGGTTATCACCGACTGTGCAACAGCCAGGGTTTATTCTCCTGCAGTATTTACCTGCCTCCCCTTAAAAAAAGCGAGGTTTAGGATTGTGTGCATATTTTTTCTTTTTCCTTGTTCATTCTTTTATACAATTACTGCATATTGACTTCTTTTTGTAAAAGGTGCACTGAAAAGTGTAACTGTTACGTGTTCTGGTAACCCAGAATTGGCGACTGCCAAGAAGTACAATTATAAATGCTAAAAACTGATGGGTGGTGTTTGTTTGTTCATTTATTCGTTTATTTTTATTTTTTTCCCTGGGGATGATCACATTGAATACCATATTTGCTGGAATTTGAGTTAACTAATGAGGAACAAAGGCGTTTGTGTGTTTCAGAAATCAAACTGGGAGGAAAAAAAAACACCAGGCTTTAACATTCAAGCTGCCACTTGATTACTTTTTTTCATTTATGCTGAGTTTGAAAATTACCCTTATTCCCTAATCAAGAAGCCATTATCTCTGTTCAAACACATCGTAGTGCCCTTTGTTCAGGGGAGATCTTTCCTCCTCTTAAAGTTAGCCGTACAATCTCTCTGTTTTGACAGTGTCAGGTATTTTAATGTAGAGGTTAAAAGAATTGCTGACAGTATTACAGTTATGGAAATAGTTATTCTGTTGGTAACTTGTGAGCCTCTTGTGTGGTCTGCCTTACTCTGCTATTGCCTTTGCCTTTTTGAGATTATACAAATACTCTTTTTTGATTTCCCTCTGCTCTTGTTTGAATCGCTTTCTGGAGCCCTAGATAGAAGAAGCAGCGCTTCTATTCTCTGCTAGGTACCTTTTAAAGAGAAAAACATAAGAATTAAAAGTTTTATGGCCCTGACTGGAAAGCAGAGGCACCAGCACCAAGTTAAGAATAGGTCTTTTAATGTATAACCTCGAAGCCTTTTGCACGATGATTCTCATGTAGGATGTTTGCTGGTTCCAACTAAGGTGCTGAATCAAGATATCACCTGATGCCAGAAATTGGTGTAGGAGAGTGACATGTAATTTTTTCTATCCTAGTTCAACTTGAAGCATCGTCATGTGGATTAAAGAGTATGTATGTGTCATATATCCTAGTGGTTTAGCCAAATCCAATGAATGATAAGCTAGGATTATATGTAAGGCGGTAAATAAGTCAAGAGTATGCAAATTGAAGTGCTTCTAGTACCTGTATTCTAGTTAAGCCTGCCTCCTTATCTTGCCCATAGATATTTTCCTGTAACAGCGTTAGCTCTGCGCGATGCCAAAGAAAGCACTAATCTGGTTTGCTCTGCATGCTCCACTCAGAGTTGCACTTCTTGTCAATAATGGGTTTGTTTTAGCATGATTAGGAGGTAGCAAAGTTCAACATCTTGTGCTCGTGCGTGTCATGGATGCGATGCTGTACTTCAAGTGGACCGTGATTAATGGCTTACATAAAACCAAACACAAAAAGAATTTTGCTGAAATAATTCTTCTCAGGTAATTCCATGTGTAAGATCACTTACAGATTTCTCAGGGAGATAGTAGAATCTCCATCCTTGGAGATACTCAAAAGCCATCTGGATGTGGTCCTGGGCCAGGGGCTTTAGATGGCCGTGCTTTTGAGTAGGGGTTGGACAAGATGACCTCCAGAGGTCCCTTCCAGCCTCAGCTGTTCTGTGATTGTGAGATGTAAAGCGATTATATCTCTGAATGTATAACTCTACTGGATAGTAAAAAAAAAAATAAAAAAAAAAAAGGTCACTGATGGTATCTGAATTTAAAAGCTTCTGTAGTTTGTACAGCCTTCAGAGAATTGAACTTTCCCTAGCTTTCTGCTCCGCTGAGACTATTTGAGGCTGCTTTCCTTAAGGAACTAGTGTGCAATTACCCTTTCCAGGACTGGAACTGTGCATTTGTAAGCAATAGTCGCCTGTGGAAGCTTTGTAGGAAAGTGCCTCAAGTTTAGGCATCCAATCCCCTTGTTGAAATGCTGCTTGTGGGAATCCTTAGGGGTGCTGCAATTTATTGCATGCGTCTCTTTCAGTTGTCAGTGTTTTCTTGTAATGTTTCTTTTATAAGTGAATTTGAAAGGCAAAGATGATTATTCTTTAAATCTAATGTCTGGGTGTTGAGGAGAAACTGCAGTCTTCTCCAGGTATGTACTTCTAGTCAAGAAATTCATGATACGAGCACACCTTGGACTACCTGGGAAATCTCTCAGTAGAGTTGGATAAACTAATTGATATATTTTAAGTATAGGTAGTGAAATTGTTTTATTAAATAAAAATGAAAAGAAGGCAGAGTAGATTCAGACATACAACATAGTAGTCAGAAACCACAGCTTTTTCCTTATTCAGAAGCTTCTGTAATGTTAATCTCTCCAGTCACTTCAAAAGTGTAGTAATTAGGATTACAGCATGTATCCTTTTGTTGTCCTCAGCTTCACTCTGGGTGATGTTGTAACAAAAATATTAAGGCTGTTAGAGCGACGAACAAAGTTTTGCAGAGGGTGCAGGTAACTTAAACCTCTGCCTCTGGCAGAAGCTGTGTAAGCACTTGGGTTCACTAGAGGTCAGACTTCTTTTACTCCTTTGTCTCTGCAAGATGAGGCTGCTGCTGGGTCCTGGAGATGTGCTTGCAGGCTCTATTCACATCATATTTACCCGGTGAAACGACATGTGTGATTTTGTACGGTCTGTAACAGCACTAAATGGCTTTTAAATTTTATTTAAAAAAACAAACAAACAAAGACTAACTCTGCGGTAGGCGTACACAGCCTCAGTCTCATGGAGGTACCCAAAGCAATGGCCTGCCCAGGAACCGGTGTGGTTGTGGGGAGAAATGACTGGGGAGGAGTTTGGGGTGTGTGTGATGATAACTGGCAGCCCCAAACCTGGGTGCAGTGGTGCCTGGTCCAGAAAGCCCTGTGGAGTGCTTTACTTGAGCATTACCTAATTTTGTATTCATTAGCCTGCATGAAATTAAATCATATTAAGGCATATTATTGAACGAGTTGATTCAATTTAGCTTGTGTTTATTTGCTTTCAGTTTGTACATTATCTTTTAAAAGTAGGCAAATTAAATCAGCTGGTCAAACTCCGAGGTGAAGGCAACAAAACAAACCCCCAAACATTATGGTAAACCTGGATTCCTGAACAAACAAATGCCTTTTTCAGGCATGCTAATTTCAGAGAATGCTAATTAAAACTTAATGCATGCACAAGAAACGACACTGGAAGAATATTAATAGCACGGGACAAAGACAAGCAGAGATGTAGTGTTTCAGTGCTTCACTTCTGTAGGTATATTCTTTCTGTTAAGGTTAAATTATTAGGAGAAGAAAGTTGCAGCACATAAATGTGCATGTATTCAAGATCAAACACATCTGAGGTTCAACTCTTTGCACTGATGCTGAGTGTATAAAGCTAAGAGTTTAGAATACTCAATAAAGAGCATGTTTCTACTTCAAATGCATTCTACTCTTTGTAGTCAAACATTTTACAGGTAATAGCATCTAAATGATTTTAGTGTACTTAACCTAGGTTTCATTCTTTCAGCGTTTCATCTCTGCTTGGAGTTGAGACTCGAGACTATTTAAGTGAATCAATTTTTTGTTGAGAAATTAAGAAGAATTCTGCTTGCCAAAGAGAAGCATACAGACAAGTCTTTCACTGAGATGTTATTTCCTGATCCAAATCTAAAGTGTAAATTGGAGCGAAGGCCTGTTTGCTTCCTGTCCTTGAACTAGACGAGTAGATTTATATTATTTTTTTTGCTACTTTGTATGCTTTCTACCCAACTTGCTGAACTCGGTAGTTCATGGGCCAGCTAAAGCACGGGGTT